CCGCATTACTACAATGCCCAGGGAGCCGTCTACTACACCAGCTACCACGGCTCCCCGCACGACCTGAGCTACGCCAGCTCCGCGGACGTCTCGCTGAACGCCTCGTGGGTGAACGCCAGCGGGCACAGCCCCCACACGCCCTACTACTCGGCGGCACAGATCTACATGCGCCCCAAGGGCGGCAGCACCACGCCCACTCCCAGCTGCAGCGGCAGCACGGGCAGCGGCAGCGGCAGTGGCAGCGGCAGCTGCAAGAAGGTTCCGCCGGAGGTGCCCAAGCGCACCGTCTTCGATCACGGCACAGCAGCAGAGCCAGCTGCTGCTGCTGCAGCGCCAGACACCGCCGCCCCCGTCGCTGCTGCGGACCAACGGGCTCTGCAAGACGGCGGAGAACGGCAGCCTGACCTCCGTCCAGAGTTCCGGCTCAGACTCGAGCGTCACCTCGGCGGAGCGGAACATGAACAGCGACCTCGGATCGGACCGCAGCAACTCCCCCCACACGTGGAAGCGTGGCACGGCCCTGAACAGCTCCCAGCAGTTCTCCACGCACTCGGCCGACTCGGTATCGGTCTCGGTGCCCAGCGGAGGTGGAGGTGGAGCCGTTGTGGTCTCCGGAGCAGCCATAGCTGCTGCTGGGCCCGGAGCTTATGCCGCACAGATGCAGGCGGCCGTGGCAGCGGCCACAGCGGCGGGCGGAGTACCGCCGACGGACGATCATGCCGTCTCGTCGCACACCAGCGCCGCGCAGTACGAGCAGCACGAACAGCAGCAGCACGAGCAGCAGCAGCTGCAGGCAGCGGCCTCCGCCGCGGGCGTGGCCCAGAACTACAAGATGTCGGAGACCATACGCAAGCGGCAGTACCGCGTGGGCCTCAATCTGTTCAACAAGAAGCCGGAGAAGGGCATCACCTATCTCATCCGCAGGGGCTTCCTCGAGAACACGCCACAGGGCGTGGCTCGTTTCCTGATCACGCGCAAGGGCCTCTCCCGCCAGATGATCGGCGAGTATCTGGGCAATCTGCAGAACCAGTTCAACATGGCCGTGCTCAGCTGCTTCGCCATGGAGCTGGACCTGTCCGGCCGCCAGGTGGACGTGGCCCTGCGCAAGTTCCAGGCCTACTTCCGGATGCCCGGGGAGGCGCAGAAGATTGAGCGGCTGATGGAGATCTTCTCGCAGCGCTACTGCGAGTGCAATGCGGACATTGTGGGGCGCCTAAGATCATCCGATACGGTAGAGTCTCCCCTCCCCTCCCCTCCTTGGAGGTTCGCCTACTAATCCGATTTATATTTGTTTACAGATCTTTGTGCTGGCATTTGCCATCATTATGCTCAATACGGATCTGCACACGCCCAATCTGAAGCCGGAAAGGCGCATGCGCGTCGAGGACTTCATCAAGAATCTGCGAGGCATCGACGATTGCCACGACACTGACAAGGACATGCTGAGCGGCATCTATGAGCGCGTCAAGTCGGACGAGTTCAAGCCGGGCAGCGACCACGTCACCCAGGTGATGAAGGTGCAGGCCACCATTGTCGGCAAGAAGCCGAATCTGGCGCTGCCCCACCGGCGGCTGGTCTGCTATTGCCGCCTGTACGAGATACCCGACGTGAACAAGAAGGAGCGGCCGGGCGTCCACCAGCGCGAGGTGTTCCTCTTCAACGACCTGCTGGTCATCACCAAGATATTCAGCAAGAAGAAGACCTCCGTGACGTACACGTTCCGCAACAGCTTCCCGCTCTGCGGCACGGTGGTGACCCTGCTGGACATGCCCAACTATCCGTTCTGTATCCAGCTGTCGCAGAAGGTCGACGGTAAGATCCTGATCACCTTCAATGCCCGCAACGAGCACGACCGCTGCAAGTTTGCCGAGGATCTCAAGGAGTCCATCAGCGAGATGGACGAAATGGAATCGCTGCGCATCGAGGCAGAGCTGGAGCGCCAGAAGTCGGCGCGCAACCGGGCCCCGGGGAACGCAGAGAACCGCGATAGTGGCGTGGCTGATGTGGAGGTGTGTCCCTGTCCCTATGGCTCCCAGCCCGGCGGCGGCTCCCAGGCAGCCGGCGAGCAGGCAGCTGGCAACTCGGCCGACTCCACGCAGCAGCTGAAGCGCAGTGCGCTCAGCAACAGTCTCCTGGATCATGCACGAGCAATGTGAGTTCTCAGACTCAAATTTTGATATGTGAGAGCGTTTGTCTTATTCCGAGTCTCCTTCCAGTTGGCAACGAGAAGCCCCAGCGACGAGGCAGCGTCGGCTCCCTGGACAGCGGCATGAGCATCTCCTTCCAGTCGACCACCACGTCCAGCGCCTCGCGGGAGAATGCGGCGGCCATTGCAGCTGCCGCCAATGCAGCGGCGGCTGCCAAGATGCGTTTCAACATGCCGCCAACGGCGGCGATTGCCACGCCCAACAATGTGTATGCAGCGCCCGGAATGCAGGCGTACACGCATGCCAACTTTGTGCAGCAGTCGCAGGCCGCCTACATGATGCAGCAGCAGCAAATGCTTCAGCAACAGGCACAAATGCAAGCCCAGGCGCAAGCCCAGGCCCAAGCGCAGGCTCAGGCGCAGGCGCTACAGCAGCAGGGAGGCGGAGGAGCAGGAGTAGGAGGAGGAGCCGTGGTCACGGGTCGAATCCCTGGAAGGGAGAGGAAGGCCTCACGCTCCGATGAGAACGCACGGTCGACGGAGGTCTAAGTCATCTACTCATCTACGTATTGTACATTTCCGTTGTTCAGCAAAGCGATAAATATTAAATCTATATAGCATATAGAGTCAAATATCTGTATAATCCGAATCGAAACGAACCGAAAGCCATTTTTTCTGCAACACCTAACAAACAAACATACACACACACCACACACACAGCTTACGAGTATATAGTGAATTTTGAATGTTCCTTCGTTCTCTGCTAATATTAATTGATGTACATAAATTAAACAATTGTCTGTTTCCCGCACTATCTACTTGCTAAAATAAGTTTCTAAAACTAATTGTATATATATACATTCAGCATACACGCATACACGTACGATATACATATACATGTAGCCCCTACGATCTACGATAGCTATTCTCAATATATATATACAAACACGTACACACATATATATAGATATATATATATATATATGTATATATACAAACAAATTGTATAACACTTGACTTCCTCCAAGAACTTGAAACACCAATTTACCCAAGGCAACCTCTAAGCGACATAACGCCCCCCCCCCCCCCACACACACATTTTTATCTAATCTTCTCTACCAATTAATTACAAATGCGATCTATGAATGTACGATTACTAGTTCTATTAGCACATACTAACATCCCGCCCCGTTGAGTGCGCGGATGATAGTTTTTTTGCCCCTGCTCCAGCCAATGCTCCACTAGCTCTACCTCACTCACCTGCAAATGCAACTAGTAGCTGCGGCACAGGAACCCACAGCAGCAGCAGCGGCGGCGGCGTTGGGCTGCTCCAGCTGCCCGCCCTGAGTATGCCCAATGCCAGACAAACTCGGATGCTGCAGCGACAGCACCAACCAACGACAATTATTCCCCCCCCATCATTCTGCCAGCTGTCCCCGACATTATGCCCATTCTGGACAAGCTGCAGAATGACCCGAGGGTGGGCAACAGTAGCTATCACACCAAGCTCATCAGCCGCAATGGTGTCCGTATCCAGGCCCGCGACATGGCTACCAGGGATGCCATCATGGCAATCCTGGGCGATGGCGACGGCAACGAGGCGATGACTGGCCACTACACACACCAGCACAAGAGTGACCGTGGGCTACGGATCGTCGTGCGAGATCTACACCACTCCACAAGCACCCAACTAATAAAAAATCAGATGGCCGAATTGGGTTATTATGTTATATTTATTAGAGCCATTAAAGGGAGATCCGATGGACAGCCGCTCGACCAGTTCGAGTTGGAGATAGCCCCCAAGCCGGATGAAAGCCACCACGATGTCCTCCAATTAACCCAGCTGGGCAACCAGTTGGTGACCGTTGAGAGGCAGGCCAAGCCGGTGGACCCAGCCCAGTGCCACAGATGTCAGGCATTCGGGCACACCCGCACCTACTGCAGGCGTTCATTCGTCTGTATGAAGTGTGCGGGTGCCCACGCGTCCACGGCATGTGCCAAGCCAAGGGCAGACGCCCCTAAATGCGCCAATTGCCAGGGCGCCCACATCAGCGCCTACAAGGGATGTCCGGCATTCAAGGCAGCAAGGGGCCGCCTTCTGTCCCACCGAGTGGCCATGCAGGAGTTGCGTCGCAAGCGCAGCTCGCTTCTGCAGCCATTGCCAGAGCAGCAGCCACCACCAGCAAGAACAACACCAGCACATCCAGGGCGCCGACAGCAGCAGCAACAGCAAGCTCAAACGCCAGCCAATCCCTGGCGCGGACAGCAGCAGCAGGCAGCATGGACGCCACTCAATGTCTCCTCTCCTGGGCGACGAAGAGGACAACAACATCAGCAGAAGCAGAAGCAGCAGCAGCCAATACATACAAAAAAACAGACGCCTGCTGCCTCTGGCCCACGCACTGGGCGACGACGTCCAGAGCAGCCATTGAGCCGTTCCCAGGCACAACAGCAGCAGCAGCTACAGCAGATGCAGCAGCACCACCAGCAGCAGCAGCACCAGCACCAGGGAATGCACAAGAAGAACTCGATCCGCAATGGCGGAGATGTCCTCAAGCGCGGACGGGCACAGTCAGCGTAAGTATTGCCTCTCTCAAAGGGAAAACCATGGACACGATTGGGGAGCCTCTTCTTTATGGGATTACCCAAAGATATAAGTCTCGTTTGGAGGCATTGAGTGTCTTGAAAGGGAATCGGGAACAGATTAATAGAATAGATACGACCCTTTGGTGATATTTTGGCGATGTCCCTTCCGTTTAAAGACGGAAATTCTGCTGTTAAAAATTCCAGTTTAGATCTCTGTTTGTTTTGCCTCAATCAATCAACAATCAATAGCATAGCATAGTTGTTAGCTCTGTGACAAAGCATAGATACGTATCTACGGAGGAGATTGAAAGCAGTACAGGAGGCAGGTGGCAGCTGGACTAAGAGCTCTATTAAACGCCAGATCCCCTCCTCCATTGCACACTCTGGGCATTCTGGCAATCAAAAGTCGCGCTCTCTGTCGATGCGGGAGCGACGACAGCTGGACTGCAGTCCCATACCACGTAGTCAATCGGGTAAGGAATCACTCTCTCCCCCTGCTTGTGGATCCTTTGCTTAATCCAACTCCTCTGTCTTTTTGCAGGCGCCTCTCCCGTTTCCATTTCGGGATCCACAGCCACCGCTGGCGGAATGGCCTCCCATCCGCATGTGAATCTGCTGCACGCGGCCGAGCCGCATTACTACAATGCCCAGGGAGCCGTCTACTACACCAGCTACCACGGCTCCCCGCACGACCTGAGCTACGCCAGCTCCGCGGACGTCTCGCTGAACGCCTCGTGGGTGAACGCCAGCGGGCACAGCCCCCACACGCCCTACTACTCGGCGGCACAGATCTACATGCGCCCCAAGGGCGGCAGCACCACGCCCACTCCCAGCTGCAGCGGCAGCACGGGCAGCGGCAGCGGCAGTGGCAGCGGCAGCTGCAAGAAGGTTCCGCCGGAGGTGCCCAAGCGCACCTCTTCGATCACGGCACAGCAGCAGAGCCAGCTGCTGCTGCTGCAGCGCCAGACACCGCCGCCCCCGTCGCTGCTGCGGACCAACGGGCTCTGCAAGACGGCGGAGAACGGCAGCCTGACCTCCGTCCAGAGTTCCGGCTCAGACTCGAGCGTCACCTCGGCGGAGCGGAACATGAACAGCGACCTCGGATCGGACCGCAGCAACTCCCCCCACACGTGGAAGCGTGGCACGGCCCTGAACAGCTCCCAGCAGTTCTCCACGCACTCGGCCGACTCGGTATCGGTCTCGGTGCCCAGCGGAGGTGGAGGTGGAGCCGTTGTGGTCTCCGGAGCAGCCATAGCTGCTGCTGGGCCCGGAGCTTATGCCGCACAGATGCAGGCGGCCGTGGCAGCGGCCACAGCGGCGGGCGGAGTACCGCCGACGGACGATCATGCCGTCTCGTCGCACACCAGCGCCGCGCAGTACGAGCAGCACGAACAGCAGCAGCACGAGCAGCAGCAGCTGCAGGCAGCGGCCTCCGCCGCGGGCGTGGCCCAGAACTACAAGATGTCGGAGACCATACGCAAGCGGCAGTACCGCGTGGGCCTCAATCTGTTCAACAAGAAGCCGGAGAAGGGCATCACCTATCTCATCCGCAGGGGCTTCCTCGAGAACACGCCACAGGGCGTGGCTCGTTTCCTGATCACGCGCAAGGGCCTCTCCCGCCAGATGATCGGCGAGTATCTGGGCAATCTGCAGAACCAGTTCAACATGGCCGTGCTCAGCTGCTTCGCCATGGAGCTGGACCTGTCCGGCCGCCAGGTGGACGTGGCCCTGCGCAAGTTCCAGGCCTACTTCCGGATGCCCGGGGAGGCGCAGAAGATTGAGCGGCTGATGGAGATCTTCTCGCAGCGCTACTGCGAGTGCAATGCGGACATTGTGGGGCGCCTAAGATCATCCGATACGGTAGAGTCTCCCCTCCCCTCCCCTCCTTGGAGGTTCGCCTACTAATCCGATTTATATTTGTTTACAGATCTTTGTGCTGGCATTTGCCATCATTATGCTCAATACGGATCTGCACACGCCCAATCTGAAGCCGGAAAGGCGCATGCGCGTCGAGGACTTCATCAAGAATCTGCGAGGCATCGACGATTGCCACGACATTGACAAGGACATGCTGAGCGGCATCTATGAGCGCGTCAAGTCGGACGAGTTCAAGCCGGGCAGCGACCACGTCACCCAGGTGATGAAGGTGCAGGCCACCATTGTCGGCAAGAAGCCGAATCTGGCGCTGCCCCACCGGCGGCTGGTCTGCTATTGCCGCCTGTACGAGATACCCGACGTGAACAAGAAGGAGCGGCCGGGCGTCCACCAGCGCGAGGTGTTCCTCTTCAACGACCTGCTGGTCATCACCAAGATATTCAGCAAGAAGAAGACCTCCGTGACGTACACGTTCCGCAACAGCTTCCCGCTCTGCGGCACGGTGGTGACCCTGCTGGACATGCCCAACTATCCGTTCTGTATCCAGCTGTCGCAGAAGGTCGACGGTAAGATCCTGATCACCTTCAATGCCCGCAACGAGCACGACCGCTGCAAGTTTGCCGAGGATCTCAAGGAGTCCATCAGCGAGATGGACGAAATGGAATCGCTGCGCATCGAGGCAGAGCTGGAGCGCCAGAAGTCGGCGCGCAACCGGGCCCCGGGGAACGCAGAGAACCGCGATAGTAGCGTGGCTGATGTGGCGGTGTGTCCCTGTGCGTTCCTTTGAATGTTCCTTCGTTCTCTGCTAATATTAATTGATGTACATAAATTAAACAATTGTCTGTTTCCCGCACTATCTACTTGCTAAAATAAGTTTCTAAAACTAATTGTATATATATACATTCAGCATACACGCATACACGTACGATATACATATACATGTAGCCCCTACGATCTACGATAGCTATTCTCAATATATATATACAAACACGTACACACATATATATAGATATATATATATATATATATGTATATATACAAACAAATTGTATAACACTTGACTTCCTCCAAGAACTTGAAACACCAATTTACCCAAGGCAACCTCTAAGCGACATAACGCTGACATATAGACATTATTTTAAATTGTTATGTTTATTGTAATATTGTAAACGTAAATCAATTGTAACTGTTTTGTCTCGTCTTTGTTCCAGTGTAGTATCTCTTTTATTACCTGTTTTTCCGTCGTCTCCACTCCAGTCTATTACTTATCTGTATTGCTATTTCTGCAAGTGCTTGTCTCTTTTATTTAGTGCCTTTCCACTTATTTTCCATGCAAAGCACATGCATTGTTTACCTTTTCCCTTTATCTATTCCCCAATTGACTACGTGTTGCAACACTGCACATTTCTGCACATTTCGATCTCATTTCTTTAACCCCTTCTTCCCCCCCCCTTATTGTTACTATCGTAATTAGTGCGGTTCTCCGACACCCCACTAAAAAAAAATTATTACAATCTGTGATAAAACTTCGGCGGCAACGGTGCTGACAATTGATTATCGGTTTCGTAATCGACTTTCAGATCAGCATCAGTTGCCGCCACACCCCACCACTACGGCCTAAATTGAGCCAAATATGCTAGTCTTCGCATATATCCACTACGTTCCCTATAAACTGCCCGCCCACATGTACATGATACATTCCTAGTCGTCTGCCCTCAGCAGGCGGCAAGGGTAGTAGAGGGGACTGAAGACCACATACCGCATTACAACCAACAAAACATCAAGTTGACAAACTCACAGGGGATCAAATCAAATTTTAAGTTAGGGAAAATTACAAAGAAGAGACAGCATACTTTTGAGCGTGGCCCCACTTACTTTCTTGACTCACACCGCACACACACACACTTGACACCCTCTTGACAATTCATACTTTTGGAGCCTTTTGCCCCGATCGCGGAATCGAGTCTCGAGTCTGGATCTCTGTCCAAACGAGAAAAAGTCGTGTCGTGAGCGTTGTGGAGTCGAGTCGTGTTTGAGGTTTAGTCCCTCCGTCAAAGTGCCGAAAAGTTTATCTCTCTCTCTTTCTCTTTTTCCCTTGCCCCCCCCCCCACCCCCCCCCCCCCCCCCCCACCCACCATGCTGACTGCGGGCCTAGTCGAGGTTACAATTGTTTAACGTTGCTGCAGTTTATATGTTTGTAAATTATTGTGCCATTAAATGTACTAGTGTGTTTGAGTGCCGTTTAAAAGTTAAATTGTAAAAAACAAACAAACAAAAATGTACATCTACTAAATTAAGACATATACTGCCCACAAAGAGAAATTAATAAAGCAACGCGCTTGGTTGCTGGCGGCTCACACCCCAGCCTCTCAGTTCCTCCCCTGTATGGAGCACTGTATGGAGCCCTCAACCCAAAGCGGGTATATAATTGGAAAAAAAAACGCAAAAAAACTGTGTGAATCAATCTGACTTGACAAAATCTCCACTCGCGTCGGTCGAAAAAATTTATTACCAAATCCAACCAAAGCCAATCCAGCGCAGCTATGCCACGCGGTTCCACTGCCAGAAGAGGACGACGACGACGAGGACCACACGGCGTCACAGCCAGGGATCGCCCCAAATCAGCCATTTCCACTGCCAGCTCCGACAGCGCCGCCGACGGCGAAGCCAGCGCCGACAGCGCAGCCACCGGCGCCGTGGCAGACGCAGCGATACTGAGACGCCAATCCACCGACTCCGCCACCTGGTTGGAGGCACTTCCTCCAATTCCTGGACCGGCTCCAGCCACCATTACCGGGTATGTGAGGACCACAAATACCGACACCACCATCACGGCCACTCCGGCCACAAGCCCCATCCCTGACCTGCCCTGCCCCAACAGCTGGGCGGCCATTCCCAATCTCACCAGCCAGGAGCAGTTCCAGATCGGCGATTGGGTTGAGGCGGTCCATACCCAGGAACGCCAGCGGCAGCAGAAGCAGCAGAACATCAGCAGCAGCAGCAGCGGTAGTCGCCGGCTTGAGGCATTGGCGGCGTCGGCAGCGGCAGCGGCGTCAGCCAAAGCACCGCAATGTCAAGCACCGCTATGCCAAGCCAAGCCAAGCCTAGCGGTACCGAGCGCGCCAATAATTCCGCTTCCCACACTCCAACACACACATACACGTATCGATGCACCGTATGCCGATGCTTCGTGTGGAGAGAGCCGGAAACAGCAAGGAACGAGAGAAGGCGCAAAGAGAGAGCGGGTAACGACCTCGTACCAGCGACAGTACGAGAGGGCACTCGAGCAGCCCCTACACGAACTGCAGCCAACAAAAGATTCGTGCTCGAGTGCCCGTTCGGGAGCGAGTTCGAACTCGAACCACAGCCATGGCACAAACCCCGCTCGATCGGCCACAGCAGCGGTTCCAAATGCAATGCACACAGCCAATACCACAACCACAAATACAATGATGACATACATCAGCACACAAACAGCGACATCAAACACAAAAACGACAACTACAATTACGTCGGCAGCCAGACGATGCCTGTTAACAGCAATGTTAACAGGCGGACCCCCCCCCACCACCGCCGCCAGAGGAACATCAGCAGCAGCAAACACATCAACAACAACAACAACTATCAGCCAATAGCAACAAACACAGCCAATACCGATGATATCCCATCCACCTCTGCTGCAGCGGCCCGTTCGCCACTGAAGCGCGTCCGCGCCGAGGTGGATGACGATGACGATGATGACAGTGATGATATGGTTTTTGAGTTTGATGACGATGACGACGACAATTTGGATGCCAATTATGCATCGGCCAAACGACGACTCCGGGAAAGTAACCAACAGGCAAGCAAATCCCATATCCCCCAAATTCAAAACCATCTCCATCACCAACAATCAAACCAGCAACAGCAACAACATCAGCGGACAATTACACAAAATGCCCCTGCCCCCGCCCCTGCCCCTGCCCCTGCCCCTGCTCCAGCCAATGCTCCACTAGCTCTACCTCACTCACCTGCAAATGCAACTAGTAGCTGCGGCACAGGAACCCACAGCAGCAGCAGCGGCGGCGGCGTTGGGCTGCTCCAGCTGCCCGCCCTGAGTATGCCCAATGCCAGACAAACTCGGATGCTGCAGCGGCAGCACCAACCAACGACAATTATTCCCCCCCCCCCATCATTCTGCCAGCTGTCCCCGACATTATGCCCATTCTGGACAAGCTGCAGAATGACCCGAGGGTGGGCAACAGTAGCTATCACACCAAGCTCATCAGCCGCAATGGTGTCCGTATCCAGGCCCGCGACATGGCTACCAGGGATGCCATCATGGCAATCCTAGGCGATGGCGACGGCAACGAGGCGATGACTGGCCACTACACACACCAGCACAAGAGTGACCGTGGGCTACGGATCGTCGTGCGAGATCTACACCACTCCACAAGCACCCAACTAATAAAAAATCAGATGGCCGAATTGGGTTATTATGTTATATTTATTAGAGCCATTAAAGGGAGATCCGATGGACAGCCGCTCGACCAGTTCGAGTTGGAGATAGCCCCCAAGCCGGATGAAAGCCACCACGATGTCCTCCAATTAACCCAGCTGGGCAACCAGTTGGTGACCGTTGAGAGGCAGGCCAAGCCGGTGGACCCAGCCCAGTGCCACAGATGTCAGGCATTCGGGCACACCCGCACCTACTGCAGGCGTTCATTCGTCTGTTTGAAGTGTGCGGGTGCCCACGCGTCCACGGCATGTGCCAAGCCAAGGGCAGACGCCCCTAAATGCGCCAATTGCCAGGGCGCCCACATCAGCGCCTACAAGGGATGTCCGGCATTCAAGGCAGCAAGGGGCCGCCTTCTGTCCCACCGAGTGGCCATGCAGGAGTTGCGTCGCAAGCGCAGCTCGCTTCTGCAGCCATTGCCAGAGCAGCAGCCACCACCAGCAAGAACAACACCAGCACATCCAGGGCGCCGACAGCAGCAGCAACAGCAAGCTCAAACGCCAGCCAATCCCTGGCGCGGACAGCAGCAGCAGGCAGCATGGACGCCACTCAATGTCTCCTCTCCTGGGCGACGAAGAGGACAACAACATCAGCAGAAGCAGAAGCAGCAGCAGCCAATACATACAAAAAAACAGACGCCTGCTGCCTCTGGCCCACGCACTGGGCGACGACGTCCAGAGCAGCCATTGAGCCGTTCCCAGGCACAACAGCAGCAGCAGCTACAGCAGCTGCAACAGCAGCCGCAGCGCGAACAACAACAGCGACAGCAGCAGCAGCAGCTTGCCAACAACCGCTCCCGGCAGAAGATGCAGCCGAAACGCCAATCTTGCGAGGGATCCTGCAGCCAGGCACTGTTGGAGAATACGCAGAGGATGACGCGATTGGAAAAGAGGCTGGAAGCGATGATGTCACTACTCACCTCGCTCATCCAATCCCAGGCAGTGACGGCAACTCCAGCAGTTCCAGTGACATCGGAAAATCCACCAACAATGGCAGCAGCAGCAGTGGTTGCCCCAGCTCCACAGCCACCACAAAAAACGTCAGGGCCAATGCCAGCCGCCATTCCAGAGACGGATCCTGAAACGGATGAAGAAAATGATGACGATGAGATGTGGACAGATGACGACTCCATGGATGACATTAAGGCCTACGCCCGCAACATGAGGTACCATCTTGACAACCAGATATCCTGGAACGCTGTGTACTAATTGGACACATCTCTGCCACTGCAATGGATTAAATGACAAATGCATATCAACCGCATGCCACAACAAAAATTAACAACGGACGCT